TATATAAGGCCGGCTGCACTGAACAATTGCTCACTTGGAACACTGGCGGGTAGAGCGCTCAAGTATTTGCGGGCCATTTCTGTCAATTTGTCGTTTTTAGTTTAGTTTTCCACCAATCGAGAGGATTTTCACAGAGATGAACTCGTCTTTTTCAAGATAGGCCTTCAATTGAGCTTTAATTTCACATTTTTTAATGTCTCCAGATTCTACATACGAGCTTTCGCTTTCGCTGGAGGAATCTAAAATTATTTCTAGGTTGATTATAAGACTTTTAGCAGTACTTGCATAACTACTTAACTGTTTAGCGCCCGAAGTTTAAAGCCGGTTATTATCCGCACCCTAGCCAAACAGACTTAGAGCCATTTCAACAATATTAGAGTGGACTCTCTGCACTGAAAATAAAATTTCGTAAAAGTGGTACGAAAAATTTTCGTAGTCTTGGTTTTTATACAATGTACGAAACTTTCGTTCATAATACGAAACATCACTGATAAATGATATAAACATAGAAACGCAAGCAGAAGAATCTTGCTTCCACATTCTGCATATGCGCGTAACATTTTTGTTTAAACAAATTTGTCGAAATTTCATCTCTAAAGCAAATATTAAATATCATTTGATATATACTTTAGATTTAAATAATCATTCTTAGTGGTTTGCGAGTCCGAGATGTTTAAATGATCGAGATAGTACATTCAATTCACATAGATTTTTTAGAACTTCTTTCGTTGAAGGTGTTGCACTTTTTTCCATACTGAAATTTGTATACATCATTTATCATTGTCTAAGACAAACTATAAAATAAAGCCTTTTTGGTTGTTGTTGTTTCCGACAGGGTGGGTGGATCATGTATTATGGAACGAATTTCCGTCATCCCTTGTCAAATTTTGGTTTGGAGACAAACCGGTTTCGGCGTTGTGCCATCTTCAGTGTCATTTTTCGTTCTGCATAATTTTTGTTGGTTGCTCGTATTTATACTCCTTGTTATCTACCTCTTTCTTTGTGTCTTGCCGAAGACACACAAACCAGGCACCCCGATGAGACCTATCATTAATTACAAGTCTGCTCCCGGATACAGACTCTCCAAGCACCTAAAGACGCTGCTGAAGGATAGTCTGGATCTACGCAATAAATATACTATTACAAATACAACTGAACTAATCGAGAAGATGAAATCGTTAAAGATCAACGAAAACACTAAATTCGTATCATTCGACATCAAGGACCTTTACCCATCGATACCCACAATAGAAACCATAAAGACCGTACAAGAAATACTGATGGGAAAAATTAAAAGAGAAGCTGTCACGGAAATAATAAACGCGTTGAAGGTTACATTAAAACAAAACTACTTCCGGTTCAACAATAAGATATATAAACAGATTAACGGGTTAGGAATGGGCAATCCGACGTCAGCAATACTCATGGAAGTATTCATGCAAACACTGGAGGAGAAATACATGAAAAACCTATCGACCAACCTAGGAGTAAAATTCTACGCGAGATATGTCGATGATGTAATATGTCTAATAGAGCTAAACAAAGAGAAACAGATACTAGACTATCTCAACAAACAACACCAGAATATAAAATTCACCATGGAAACGGAAGAGGAAAGAAAGATTAACTATCTGGATTTAACAATTAAAATAAACGATACCACGAACAAGATAGAGTTCGAAATATACAGAAAACCAACAGCCACAGACACAATTATACACAATAGCTCAAACCACCCACAGCAACACAA